CCCCCCCCCCCACGGGGTGGGTGGGCTAGCCTGGGCCCAAGTTGTCTGCTCCAGCCCAGCAGGGATGCATGCTCATGTGCCCTCTGGCTTCTGGCCCAGGTCACTGCAGGCATGTGGCTGCATTTCTGGAATCAAAAGTGAATGTCTGTTCACTTGCTTATCAGTTCCATCTACACAGCTTAGACTAACCTGTGAAGATTGAAATGATTCAGCTTCAGGCTTTTGGACCGTCTGTTATACTTAACCCATGTGTAAGTTTGTTTCTGTGTGACTTGGCATGGCATGGCATAGCAGATGCAGTCAGAACAGTAGAAATTAGGGAGCTTTGCAGATATCTCCCTCCCTCCCTCCCTTTCTTTCCCCCCAAAAATGTCATCACAGTAAAGGCAATAACACTGAAGATATTAACTCCTTCCAAAGCACATAAACTGTAGAATATTGCAGCTAGGGAGGAAGGGATGCTGTGGCAAATCTGTTGTCAACTGTCATTACTAAGGAAACTCGAGAATTCCAGTTCCTCATGTTTGGCTATGAATAACACATAGTTTTGCATCTGTGGAACTTACTCAGAGGTTGCAGGACCCACCCTGCCTGTTATGTCCTGATACCATACCTACCTCTCCAAGTGGAGCATGTGTCAGTTTTGGCCCAGCACTGATTTAGTAGATCTTGGCAGCTGAGCCTGCCCCTTCCATGCATTTTTATTTAAGAGGAGGAGTATATTTTAGTTTCAGCTCTTATTTTAGTCGAGTTTGCACTGATTGTCACTGCTTGGTCGCAAAGAACTTTCATAACAAATCAGCTGTATCTTCTTTTTTCTTCTTTTTCTTCCTCTTTTCTTTTCCTTGGCAGGGAGAGAGAGGTGTTGTTTGCTTTTGATGACAGATTGGTCTGAGCACACTTAAAAACTGCAAGCTAGTCCTTAACACATTGCTCAGTATTTGGCACTGCCTGCAAATGTCTTGGCACAAAATGGCTGGTAAAAAAATATATGGGGCTAAGTTTTTCTTTTTTTTTTAGCAAACAGGCATGTTTAGTATTGTATTCTTCTCTCTACCCTGCTTTCCCTTTTCATCTTCACATTTCTTATGGAAAAACTAATTTATTTTTTTTTAAAAGCATGCACAATGTTTTCTTTATAGCTTGGTAAGTTTTTAGTAGCTATTTTTTCAAATAACCTATTTAATGCTTTGCTTATTTGAACTCTTTTATCAGAGATTAAATGTGGATTTTTTATAGTGTGTACTACAACATTTAATTTAGAGATTAGGCCACACAAAGAATAAACTAAAAATGGAACCAAAACATTTATATTTTCTGAATTAAAATAGCTGATGTGAATTAGGGAATTAATACCTCTCCCCCCCCCCACAAAAATATGTGCAGCCTTCTTGATTAAACTTTGAAAGACCAATATATTAGATTATGCAAACTTCCATGAGTTTAATAGCAATAGTGCTGAAGCCAGAGTTTTTAAATACCTAGCTTTGGTTGTTTCAATACTTAACCTCAGTCTAAGAGAAGGACAGAAACAGGTGATGAAAGGCAAAATTAATTAACAGTAATATTTGTCCTTTGTGTTGTCTATTGTTGAGAATAACACTTAGCTTTATGCATTCAGGAAAATAATGAGAAAGTAACCTTTATTTTTCTTATGCCTGGATAACTTAACATGTTGTTGGTTGGGGTTCCTCATCAAAAACCATGGTAATGATTGGATATTTTAACAATTTTATATAGCTTAATCTTGAAAAGCAAGTTATGCTTTAAAAGAATGAGGCCAGCTAATAAAATCAAAAGGGTAACATAATAAATAAAATTCCAGAAACCTGAGCATGTCTACTACAGCTTTGCCCTCCTTCTGACTATGGTGTTGATATTGGCAGGCAGTAGGCTGTGATCGACAACTTGGGAGTAATGCCAAGGAAGACAACTGTGGAATCTGTGCAGGAGATGGTTCAACTTGCAGGCTTGTGAGGGGACAAGCTAAGGCACATGTTTCACCAGAAAAAAGTAGGTTGAAAATTGATCCTATGTTAATTTATCCTTGACTGTGTTTTCTGCTTATGTATTAACAGACATATTGAAGAGTCTGACCTTTTCGCTATATATTTGTTTGCAGTCATCCAAAGCTACTTATTATAAAGTCTGTGCTAGATTAGTCTATTGAAATTCCATGAGGGATACCACACATTAGGCTATAGCTAGGAAAGAATTTGAGATATGCATTTTTTTTGCAGAGCAGCTCAATTTATTCTGTCAGGAATAACCATCAAGATATACATCTTATATTAGAGGGTATCCTCATATTGCAATATATGTGACACTGTGACAACATTTTTAAATCATGGAAAAATCTTCTGGATGGTTCTATGGAAAGTGTGGCATGTGATTTTAATGCCTGGTTTTCAAGTTAACTGTGCTCATTTTTTTAAAGCTTTGAAGACAATTGAAAGTTAGAGGCAAGTTAACTACTTCCATGGTACAGAACATACAAGTCTTGAAGAATTAGGAATGACAATGAGTCTGCTCATTTTTGTACATTTGAGACAATTTGTACAATTTTGGGCCAGAACCTGCTAGCCTTCCTTGTGTATTATACATTGTTCTGCAAATAGGAATACTGATCTCAGTATTATTACTAGATGACAGGAGGAATAAAGCCTTTTGGACTAGAACAAAGTAAAAGGGTGGCTGTGCTGTTGCAGGCAGTGTTCCAGGAAAGACTTGTGACTTAAAGGCACACCTCTGACTAGCTGTTTCTCCACAGCTCCTATTTTGATTCTCCTATCCAACCAACACTGCCAGTGAGTGCCTGGAGGGGGACAGAGCCTGGTTTCTAACCCTGACAGTGCCCCTTCTCTGTCCCTTCCCACCCTCTTTTTTCCCACTTGTTCACAATGTGGGAGTACTAGTGTTCTGGAGCCTATTCTCTCCCTACCATTTCTGCACTCATAGACTAGGGACAGACATTACCAGGGCTATGTGAGGCTTTGGACAGAGCTTCGGATCCAGAGAAGCTTTGAATACTTCGGGGTCTCAAGCAGCACCTCCGGGTCGAAGTGCTGGCCTCATTAGGCTTCCTGAAGGGGTTCGGAGCTCCCGAAATGCTTCGGAGCTGCCTCAGAGATCTGGCCATAGGGTATAATGGGGAAACGATAAAATATCTATAACTTTGTTGTTTTCTGTCTGATTTGGGTGAACTTTTCAGGGGCAGTAGACTCTGCTGAGAGGATGAAGCCTCCCAAGTATCAAGAAGATCGGTGCAGGGGTTTAGGGAGAATAGCACCCCAAATTCTTGAAAGCAAAACTCATGTCATGTCTAGGCATTACAACACAGCAGGGTGAAAACTGCAGGGATGGTAGCTCTTATGGAGGCCACAAAGCCTGCCAAATTTCAAGAAGATCAGTGCAGGGGTTTGGGGGGAACTATACCTCAAGCTGCGGACAAGCAAAACTTGTGCCATGGGTGCTTGTGGGACTGTCTCTGTCTTAGGGCGGGGAGGGGAGACACTGCTGCAGGCCTGGCTGCTGAGCTGCTGTGTTCCCAGTTACCAATCGATCAGTCATGATTGAGTCAGGGACCAGCTCAATACACAGGACCTAGCTACTACATAACAGCTTAACGAGCATCAGTGAGCACCTACAAAACCAGGCTAAGAAGAGGAAAGAATCAATGCAGACAATCAAATGCCCCAAGACAGACACCGTCTTGGCACCAGTTTTGTCTGTCAGCAGCTAGGGGTGCAGGGCCCCAGAACCCCCCTGCACCAATCTCCTCGACAGCTGGCAGGTGTTGTGGCTGTAGCAAGGGCCACCATCCCTGCAGCTGTCATCCCGCTGCGCCTGAACACACGCAGTGTCACCCATGGCATGAGTTTTGCTTGTCTGCAGCTTGAGGTGCAGTTCCCCCCAAATGCCTGTACTGATCTCCTTGAAACCTGGCAGGCTTTGTGGTCCCAGTAAGAGCTGCCACCCCTGCAGTTTTGACCCCCCTGTGTTGTAACACACAGCTGTGACATGAGTTTGGCTTTCATGAATTTGGGGTACAGTTCCCCCCAAACCCCTGCACCAGTCTTCTTGAAACTTGGCAGATTTCATGCTCTCAGCAGAGGCTACCATCCCTGCACGTCTAATCCAAATCAGACAAAAAACAACAAAGTTATAGCTATTTCATTGATTCCCCATTATAACCTATGGCCAGATTTCCGAGGCTGCTCCGAAGCTATGGAGCCGCTTCGGCCGGATCGAGGCAAAAACCCAGTCCGGAGCTCTGAATCAGATCACTACGAACTTGCACAGGCCTAGGTGTTACACATAAACTCATTTACGTGATCAAAAACTGGTTTAAACCTGTAACAGAATAGACATTGACTGCACATAAACCAGTTTGAAAATAACTGAAACTGGTTTGAGATAAACCTGGTTGAATGTAGTATCAGACTCAACTGATTTGGGTCAAACCAATTTATGCAATGTCTGTCTCAGACCCCTTCCTGGTTTAAGTTGAATTAGATTCTCCCAGCATCCTAGCATGCTATCTGGGCTGGGCAGGCCCCTCCTCTTTGCTCCCTTGCTGGAGCTCCAGCAGCGACTTGCAGGCATAGCAGGGTCTGCCTCACTTCCCCATGTCGCCCTTCTCACTCCCCCCCCCCAACTCGCTGCTTAAGCAGGTATCCCTCCCTCCTCTGTCCTGCAGCATGAACTGTAGCCAGCATGTGGTATGCTAGCTAATGCTGTGAGGTGTCTGTGTAAGGCAGACAGGACAGTGTCCGCTTAGGGCTTTTTGGAGCTAATCAACAGGTCAGCTGGTAATATCCCTGTGTTCCTTCCTTTGGAAAAAGCTGTTTAAGAAGAGCTTGAACTAATGGGCGAAGCTTTGTTTTCTGATGGCCTGTTAAATGTTGATAACAGAGCTGATACATACTCTGTTATCAAGGAGGGGGGGAACCCCACCCTAATCAGAGCATCCTGCTAGGGCTTGGCCATGCCCCACTCAGCTCAGCACTGTGGAAAAGAAGGAAGGGCTGCTCTAGTGCCCTCTGGCTTCTAACCTGAGCCACTGCAGGCATTTTTTTCAATCCAGGGGGGATGTCTTTACGGTTACAAACTGATTCACCCTAGGCAGGTTAGACTAACCTGCAAAGATTAAATCAGTTCAGGCTCAGGCTCTTTGAGTGTCTGTCCCTAGCCATAATCAGGATAAACCCTGTCTCTTTCAGAGGAACACAACCCTTCTGGCCCTATACTCCCTTGCAGAGCCTTATAGGACAGAGTGACTCTCACATTCAGATTACTATCAGCAATCTCATGCAAACCTTTGACAGGCATTTTCAAAATGATGTAGAATGGAATAATTGTCCATTTTGGAGGCCTGCACCAATTTCAGCATATTTGGACTAAGCACTATATATAATTCAACCTGCACACAGTTCATGAACAACAAGATTTTGAAAGAACTGTTACATATAAAGTCATATTTTAATGCCTATTGCAGTACCTATAAATGTTTTCATGCTGCTTTATGCAATGGCTTGAATTGTGCTTACATGCAAGTGTAGTTTGAAATGGAGCATATTTTATCTTGATGCATGTTACCTTTCATTGGGATGACATACATTGGTCCGTGGAGCATTCCAAACTCTATGCTGTATAGTTCCTGTGATTTGGAAAATATATATAACTATGGTAAGATTTTTTTTAAAAAAAGGTATATTTTTATGACCACGTATGTAAGGGTCATGAAATACTTTAAAGGAAGGCAGAAATATACATTTTCTTAGATGTATACTGGCGTTGCTGCTGACAGTTTCTAACTCACTAGTGGCATGGACTTATTTCTTGGAGCTGAGAATTTGATTTGCTAATTGAATGTAATGAATGAGTTCCTCATGAAACACTGAACAGGTAACATTTATACTGAGCAAGAAAACAGCTTTGATAATGTGCATGCTCATTTGTCTATTCATTCCGAATAGTGTTGATCACACTGAACTCAGAGGGACTCTTTGTCCCTGGTAAACACACAGCAAATGTTACTTGATTTAGCTGTGCAAATTGAACAAAATGTTGGTTATATTACAAAGCCCAATACTTGCTTTTGTTAAAGAAACCCCCCAGGATGTTTTAGGTATTACAGAAGAAGTCCCTGGCACACCTGGACATCATATGAAAAACCAGAGAACAGGTTTTCTTATGCACCAAACTGTACTCTGTTGTCCCCTCATGAACTTTCACTGGGTAATGATGGGAGGCAACTGAGTGTTGAATGTTCCCCAGTTTTTCCAAGAATATTTTGGATGCTCATGCCTCTCCCCTGCCTCATCTCCCTTTAGCTCAGGGAAGGTAACTGGCCTAAGAGATGGCTGTATTATTTACATCAGCTTTACACCAGTAGGAATTCCCCTACATGGGAAAATTCCCTGGAAGTAACCTCCAGTTGCTTTAAGTTCACTTTATGCCATCTTAATGGCATGGAATAGACTTGTTAAACTGGAGAATCTGGTCAGAGTGCATTGGACAGTTGAAATAAAGTGTCAGAGTGTCTTAGTACTAGAAGTAAAGAGAAACTTTTAAATAAGATTCTGAGTTTTCTGGAATTAGAGTTGTAAGGTAGTTTACCAATAGTGTCAGTAAATACTAGTTTAGTTCTGCTTGCAGATCTTGTGGCCCAGCTAAAGATTGGATGCCTGATACAACACTCATTTAAATAAATTAAAAGATTCTCATCTATGCCACTTCTGACCAAACAGGGAATTTCCACAGTGAAACACAGCACACTCACTCCACATGCTACAGCTCCACATGTCACGTGGCTGCTGTTAGACATCTGCCCAGTGATGCTTTAACTCTGGCTACATCACATTTTGGGGGACTGTAGCAAGGGCATAGTGGGCGTCCCATGCTCACTGCAGCATTCTGTGGTACAATTTTGAAGTGATAGAGACATGATTTATTGGTTTTGCTGGGTATGGATCAGACCCATAATTGAGTGTTTTCTCCATCCTGCTACT